CCCCCGACCTACGTACAGTTGCGGACCTGCGCCTTTTTCGCCGAGCCCTGAAGGCCCATCTATTCCGTGCGGCCGGCCTGGCGTAGTTTGATTATGTTTTAGTGGGGGTTTTGTATGGGGTATTTTTAGAGCAGGCCTGTTATTTAATTTGATTTTAGAACAGAAATTTGTGTATATTTATCATGGTTTTTATTATCGCCTGTTCACCGCCCTGAGTCCCGTAAGGGAGATAGGGCAGTATATAAATTCAATAAATAATAATAATAATAAGTCGAGGACAATCTGTACGTAAGTCCCAGAGCAGGATTTGCCATCCGGACACGCCTCTGAGTGCATCAGTCGGAGACAAACCAGTCCTGGTGTCATTTCCTTCAATTCAGCGCCTGCATCAGCTCAGGGAAGTGTCCTGGGTGAGAAAACTCCCTGGCTGAAGATTCAAATGTGCCTTTTCCCCCCTTTTTTTGAATTCCTGCTCTTCTTCCTCCGAACGTTTTAATTGCTCCACGGGCAATTCTGCTTCAGCCACAGGAAGTGAGGCTGGCACGCGACTTTGGCCATGGGAGAAACAAAAGAAAACCTCTTTTTTGTTGTTGTTGTTGTTCTTGCTGCTGCTGTTTAGGTTCTCACAAGGCGGCAGCTTTGTGTGCTGAGTGTGTGTGAATGTGTGTGTGTAACTGTAGATTGAAGGATGGGGAGGGAAAGGAAAGACCCCCCCCCCCCAAAGTACACGCCCAGAGACAGAACAGGAGAGAAATTTGTAGAGAATATTCGTAGCTCAGGTTGCAGATTTCAGCAGACCGGGACAATCAAGCCAACCCCTTCCGCATTGTATTTCTCAATCTTGGCAGTTTTAAGATGGCTGGATTTCAACTCCCAGAATTCCCCAGCCAGCCATTTTTCTGGGAGTTGAAATCCATGCATCTTAAAAGACCACAAGGTTGAGAAACAAAGCTCTAACCCAGGGGTAGTCAACCTTGGCTCTTTTATGACTCGTGGACTTCAACTCCCAGAATTCCTGAGCCAGCTTAGCTGGCTCAGGAATTCTGGGAGTTGAAGTCCACGAGTCATAAAAGAGCCAAGGTTGACTACCCCTGCGAGTCTAACCCCTTTAAATATCACTTTACTCAATTTTTTTTTAAAGCATTGCCG